GGATGGTGGAAGCCGAACACTAGCAGGGGCGAGTGGAGTTTAACGAGAAGGGAGGGATTAGCTGCATGGACCTTTTTCCAGACCCCATAGGGGATCTTGTCCGGGCCTGAGGCTGACGCGTTTGATGACTTAGACAGGGCCCTTTGCACCTCCTCAGGAGAGAGTGGGGGTGAGTCGCGGAAGGGCCTGAGGATAGATGGGGTAGGAGCAGGAGTCTTGCGTGGGAAGAAGTGACTCAGGAGAGCTGAATTGATCTGTTCGGGGGAGGAAAGGCCAGGAAAGGAGGGGAATCAGTCAGGGGCCCTTCCAGTGGCAAACCTTCTGGCTGTCCAGACAGAGCGGGAGTCAACCTTGAACAGGAAGCTCTTCCAGTGCTCGGCCTTTGCCTTCTTGATAGCCTTAAAGTAGAGGGAGCAGGCCTAGCGGGCCTCAGTACTGAGTGTAGGTGAGGGGGAGGAGCGGGACCTTCTGGCAGCGGCATTGAAAGCACGGCGCAGCGACGTCAATAGAGGGGACCACCAAGGCTTAGACCTAAGTGAAGGGCATTGTAGTGGGGCAGGGGCCAGGAGTAGGGCTGAAAGGGCACCGAGGTGTCGCTCGAACCACGAGCTGAGGGCAGAAGCTGTAGGGAGGGAGGGCGGAGGTGGAAAGTCGACTCTTTGCCGCTTCTCAAGTACCGGTAGCCAGTCTACCTTGTCCCAGTCTGGGCTCGGAGGGGCCTTGTGCATCAAGGGTCAGGAAAGTTCGATAAGGATGGGGCCGTGGTCAGAGCCGGTAGAGGGGAGATCAGCCGACCAGGAATCATGGAAAGGAGCCAAAAACCTATTGGCAAAAGCCAGGTCAAGTATACCCGGCCTGGTAGCCAAGTCGAAAGGGAACCTGGTGTGGATGCCAGGGGTGTTGAGCAGGTTGTAACCAGCCTCAGAGGCGGCCTTGAAGTAGGGGGAGGACACCAGCAGATCCTGGTCTGAAAACTGGTGCAAAGGGTCAGAAAGCGGGTAGTGCAGGTTGAAGTCACCAAGGGTGAGGGAGGGAAAATCATGAAGGGGGAAAGCATCCGCTGGCGACACTGTCCGACGGTAAGAGGACACAAAATTAATGGAATACAAATTGTAAATCCGAAAAACATGGAGAGAAGGTAAAAACAGGCCCTTAGGCGAGTGTATATCCAGTGCCATAAGGTCGGGCCGATCAAAAAAACAGGGGAGAACAGGATAGGCTCCGAGGAGCTCCTGATAAACAAAGACGGCTACCTTAGGCTTTCAGCCTGAGGCGACAGGGGGGGAGAAGCACTTATACATGGAGAAGGACGGTAGTTTCCCTTTCCAGACTGGAGGGTCCTGGAGGGCCACTACCGGGGGGGGAGATGGCAGCGCAGCGAGGCTGTTAAACAATGAAAGAAAAACATTCCAGCTCGCTAAGCAGTTATGTTGGACAATAGAAAGAAAAGGCAGGAAAGAAGGGGATCGCGGCAATTGGTCCACCAAATTTGGATCCATGGGTTATGCTATCACTTATGAAAGGAAGATGAAGGGAATGGAGATGGGCTACTGGATTCCCCTAGGGAGGCGAAGAAGGCAGCAGACTGTGAGGCGGGTGCTGGAGCACGGGAAATTGGGGCCACAACGGGTCCGGGGGTGGCCAAGGAGTCGTTTCCAGGAAGAGGGGGTGTGGGCGTGCGGGCATTGCCCAGCGGGGCATCGTCTTGGTCCATGGTGTCATCCTCCCCTTCATCTTCTGCCTCAGACCCTGAGGACTGTTGCGTCGGCTGGGAAGGATGGGAGGGACAGGATCTGTCAGTAGCGGGGTGGTCACCAGAGCAGTTAGCACACTTGAGAGGGGAGGCTGGACAGCAGCCAAGAACGGGTTTGAGGAAGTCCAACTTGGGGCATGTGGGGTTGGGACAATGGTGGTTGGCTCTCGTATGGTTTGATGCACAGATCGGGCAGACAGGAATGGTGGCAGAGGAAGCTGGGGCCTGATGACCAAACTTCCAGCAGTGCCTGCATTGCATGAATTTGTTCTTGGAGACCGCATTCTGGACATTGCAGAGCTTAGAGTAGAGGAGGATCTTGGACCCAATCTGGGCCACATCGGAGGGGGCGACGATAATGACCACTGAGGTGGTGGCCTTGCGAAGGAGGGGGCCTGGTTGGATTAAGTATCAGTTGATACTTGGTTATCTTTATAGGTTGATTGAGTAAGAACATGAGTAAGAATACATGATCGTACTCAAACACATATACTTAAAAGACTGCCATCTTCCATTCTGAAAATGGCAGACTTCAACAGATAGTATTTTAATATACTCGGTTGAACAGTTATCTTTATTTTCCTATTACACCACTAAAGCCTCTCTTAGTAAGTTTGGAATTGTTACTCTCTGGTAGACAGAATTCAACTTCTATTAAACCTAATAGCATGACTAGCACCCCAGCATAAACATGTTACAGTAGAGGCCAGGGCTTTATTGATGCTGTTGCATAGCTGTATAGCAGTAAGAGTAAGGGAGGAGATATTGCTTGTGATAATAAGCTAATGCTTATATATGATGAGGCCTTTCTTTTTGGTAAAGTGCTTAACCAAGGTAGGGAAGGGTTTGGCTGGCTTCGAGCTAGCCTTTGCAGGTTTCTGGAAAGGTTCTCTTATCCTCCTAGTAACTGTAACCCATAAAGAGGCAGTTACTGCAGGAGTATGGGTATAGGAAATAGTGGAGGGTAGGGGGAGAGCAAGGAACTACTCAGGAGTAGAGGTGGTAGGAGGCACTATTAGAGCAGTAGTAGGAGCAGGCTGAGATAGGATAGAGGTACAAAGAGTATCCCATTTAATATAAAGCAAGAGTTCAAAGGATTTGATGTTGGAATTGTGTTTATTGTATGTAGAGTTAGGCAACTCTAGAGACTAAAAAATAACAAATCTTTAAAGCTCTTGCTCTGCCTTAAATGTTGCTCTTATTTTTTTATAATAGATAGGTCTTGTACTATATCACCTATACTATGATATTATTCTTTAAAAATTATCATTAGACTCTGTTTAGTATGTAACCATATAAAAAAATATTATTTTTCATAAAAATAGCTTATAACCTAAAAATATAAAAAAAATCTATTTCCCAAAATATTACCTTTGACAGGTTCTTGTAGTACTATTTTAAGGCAGAAAAAATTAGACTTATAACTGCCTTTTGTTATATCAAACTACTAAGTTCCTGTATCTCAGATACTCTCTTTTCTATTCAAGAATGGATAAAAATTAATTTGCTATCAGTAATTTATATTAAATAGAATCAAATTGATGAATCAATAACCAGGATTTGCTTTATACTCTAAGATCAAAAAAAACTGAAAAACTGAAATTCAAAATTAAATATAGTCAAACTCTATTTTAATTTGCCTGCCAAATACACCTTCATATATTTATAAATATGTGAAGAAAAAAAATGATATTTTTCTTATACACCAAACAGGGCCTTAGTTATATTTTTAATATGAGCCTGTGTCAATAGAAAACCCACTCTCAGGTAAAGTAGTTGTAAGCAGAAAAGTACATGACAACCTGAGTGACCCACAAAATAAATTTCAAGCTAATATCACCTCAATGACAACATATCTTTTGAACCACTACTTGCTATTCAAAAAAAAACTTCATTATCAATTGAAGACTTATATAATTTAGTTTATTACTAATTCTCTTATCCTTAGAGCTTGTGGTTTAGGGGTAAGCTTGTTTTATATAGTAAAGAGTATATTTGATCAAGTTTTAGTTTTTTCTATATAAAATGTTCCACAGAGGTTATTAGGTGACAAATAATATTTTCTGAGCTATAGTGCAAGCAGTTCAAAAAGGGAACCTGAAATTTTACATTTTTCAAATCTGTAAGGCTCCACAACCATCATATATAATTACTGAAGAAAAACCTGTTTCTGAAAAAGCAGATGAAGGAAAATATAAAACAGGGATTTTTTTTTGGCAAATATAATTATGGTTAAAGAGCCTTAAGGATTTAAAAACATGTATTTTTAGTGAGAAAGACAGAAAAGTATTACTGTAGCTACAATTGATTAGATTAGTAAGTCTGAATTTATTTTATAATATATTATTTCTATATTTTTTCCCACACTAGTTCTCATTATACATATAAATTAATAGTCTCTTTAAACCCTTATACCTTAAATCCTTCCTTCAATAAGTTCTTATATACTATTAGTATTCAATCTTAGCATTCAAATTTACACAGCCACATGTAACAGCCTCTGCACAGCCAAGTTCCCTTTTTGGACTGCTTGCACCATACCTGCTTCTAAGTCTACTAACTATGTAAAGGCCATATGACTGTAGTTAGTATCTTGTAGAGTTACTTCTACTAGATGGTCCTTTTATGCCTGGGTCAAGGCTTCAAGTTTGTAGAATCTTTTTATCAAGTTGGCTACAGGATTCAGGTTCTTATTATCACAGAGGTCTGAGTTTTTGTTTTTGCTAGCTGACTGGTAGGTAGTTTGGATGATATTTAAGTAGGTATTTATTAATACTTCTATTTTTACTGAAATATCTTTTAAATTCATCTTTTGTAACTTATCTTTTATTCTTCTTCCCAAAGCATATATCCAACAACCTACCCCTATTTCACTATGGAAGCTGTTTTGCCTTATGGTATTGCCATTTTTTTTCAAAATATCATATTGTTGATATTCACATAATGACCTAAATCCACTGTTCTATTTTTTTTATCTTAATAATACCCTGATTTACACTAATTCATTGACAAGATCTATTCAGATTAATCATGGGCGATAATGCACCCCTGTGTGCCACCACGCAAGCCCAGTCCGTTCCACAAATATCTCGACAGGACAGGTATCATAGGCTACGGTAATGGCGGGAAAGAGACCACACCCCCCGTGCGACGCCTGCACCCTACACTGCCAAGCCAGATCCAGGAAAAGCTCGGTAATTTCAAGAGAACATCATCTCACCACATCCAACGGTCCGACATCACCCCCATCACTAAACAAACCATCTACAACCAATGCCATTCCGCCTTGGCTCACGGGTAAGCCTCTAGGTCTATACTGCACGATCAATTGCTTCACCCCCTGCTCCAGGTGGGGAGAAAAAGCTGACGCAGTTGTCAATAGCGCACCGCCATCATCACACTCACTACTATGGGAGCGATGGCTAGTACTATTACACCTGTGTTTGCCGATGAGGGACGGGTAGGCTTCTTGGCCAGTGCAGGTTACAGCTTGGCAAACAACAATGGACTAATTGATCCACAGCAGGGTAAGAAATCAATCTACGATACCCCCTCAAGATACTCCCGCAGCGCTCCCGTGTCCGCCGACACAAAATCCCCAAGCTTGATCACCGCAACTCCGACCACCGCCTCGGACCCCACCGACGAGAAAGTCACCCCAACTCCAACTGACCGCCTGGCCGCTGAGATCCGCAAAGCCCGGCTCTTCCTGCACGCGCACACCGTCTTCCTACAAAAGCACATCGACCTCGCCTTCTCCAGCTACCTCTCCTACGAGCACAGCATAACCACGACCATAAGCTCCCTTGCACCCCCCAAGTCCTCAGAAGAAAAGGTAGTCCCGGGCGTCCTGTACGTTGCCGTCTCGACCATGGCCGGCTCCATCATTGCGCGGAACCGCATGTTTCCCATTCGTGCGCTGACACCAGTGCTTATTGGGATCGGTGCGGGACGGTACTTCCTCCCGGAGACCACGCGGAACGTGGGGAATTTGGTGTGGGAATGGGAGAAGATGGTCCCTAGGGTGGCGGAGAGGCACTTACTTGTCCAACATGGGATTGAGGAGGCTGTTCGGGCGAGCGGGAAAGCGGTTAGGGATGGGAGGAAGGTTGTGGATGAGAATGTATCCCGCGGGAGGAGTATCGTGGAAGGGTGGGTTAAGAAAGGTTGATTAATTTTGCTCACTCGTGAAGGGCGGTTAGTGCAAACAAACGAAAAATAGACTCAACGGTTAAAACATTGGAGAGGATGTAAGTCTATTGTACCACATAGCTTACATTACATACACAAACAATTGGTAGGCTTTTTTTTTCTTTTCCACCAGCCTACTTCACTTGCATTCGCTTTAACAATGAATACCCCCACTCCAGTCGTGAGAAAGAAAAAAAAGCCTATCATACCAGTCCCTACCCTACCCCTACCGTGTTATGTACAGTACATCCACCCACCCACCCCGCTATCAAATAACGTGAGATACAGAGAACAAGAACTAGGAATAAATTTCGCGGTTTGTATGATGGGTAGAAGAAGGAAGAAAAAGCAAAACTCCAGCCCTAGCATCGGACGATCGAAGGAAAAGGGTGAAAAAAAGAAAAAGAAAAAGAGAAAGGAGGAGGAAAAAAAGAATCTGTTTCCATCTATCCACCCTGTACCATACTGGGCCGGGGAATTAGGTAGGAAGATGATAGGAGATAGAATAGAAAGGACCGTGTATGTGATACCTCGTAAGAGGTAAGTAGGAGGGTGTGAGGAGATGAGGGAGGGGGTAGGGAGAGGAAGAGGGAAAGAGTCCGCGAGTTGCCTAGGTAATAGTGATATTCGTACCGTTATGGTCAGCCGTAGTGGGGGTAATGGTGGTAGTGGGTGTGATAGAAGGAGGTTTGAAAGGTAGTAGAAAATGGCAAAGAAAGAAAAAAACTAATGATACATCCACCCCGTCTGGCCGTTTCTCCTCTCTACGCCATCATGCCCTTCTTCACATAAATCAACTCGTGAATCTTCCAAGCAAGTGCCCCCACCTCGCGCAGTCCGGCAGCAGCCCCACTCTTCAACGGCTCCCAATCGCCCTCCACCTCGCCGCTCCAGATACCCTTCAGTTCTTCAGCCTTGCGTCTGCCCTCTCCACCCACGATATCGACCTCGGATTCAGGATTGCTGCTCACAGCATCGCGCACGAACCAATGTAGCACGCTCTTGCGGCACTGGAGCTGCCAGTCGAGAACCACGCCGAGGCGTCGATAGTAGATGCGGAACCAGTCCACGCTTCTGGAGAGCACAAAGACGTGGCCATCACTCCTGTCACCGACAGCTGCTTCTATCTTTTCGAAGGCGAGGAGGAGCGGGAGGGTTACTGTTAGTGCCATCACGACGGTTTCCAGCCCCGAGACGTTGAGCTTGTGTTCTAGGAAGCCTTTGATGCGGATGTGAGGGCTTCGGGGTGGAAGGTGGAGCTTCATCTCACGGTCGCCAGAAAAGCTGACTTCTGCTGAGGAGTTTGATTCGGTATCATATGTGAAGGCGATTCTGCCAAGGGAGACGTTCAAGCATGGAAGATTGAATCTCCGGATCACGGCGACAAAACGGATTAGACGTTCTATGCGGTGGAGCTTCTCTATCAGTTGTTCTATTACCGATTCGCCGACGTTGATGTTAAACCTTATTGCATAGCTGCCGGATTGCGGATGGAAGGAGACGTCGCTGTCCGCTGCTGAGATGTTTGTCGAGCCGAGCTGTGTCATTGGTTCCTTGGTTCTACCGAGGACTGTCACGATACATTTCCCCTCCGTGCCTAGCCCCTGGAAGGTTAACCGCAGGACGTCGATGCCCCAATTTGCGTGGATCAGACTGGAGAAGCGGATATATAGATCCGGAATGGTGAGTTTGGGATCAGCTACTTTGCTGGGTTGGAGCTTGTGCTGCACTCCCTTCTCAACGAGTGCCAATTGATTGACATAGAGGGTTATCATCGCCGATGACATTTTCTCGAGGTTTCCTAGAAAGCCGTACGTAGCGTTGGCTTCGCCGTGCACTGGGATTTCGAGGGCCATGCTCATGGACCATTGGCTAGGAGCCTCGTGTCTGTGTAAGGTTAGGACTGATGAATCCAGCTTGTTTGAGTAGAACATGGGCTTACACTTTAACAACCCACCAACTCTGCCCTGTATCTGCCAGGACCATGGCAATGACCCATTCCTTTCCCCAACCTTTCCTCCTGAGGTATGATATGTACCTGGTGGTGCTTGGGAAGAATCCCTTGAGCTCCTCCCTTCGGGGGTTGAGCATCTTCAACACCTCCCATCCCATACTACGAGCCCTAGTCTCTACCTCCTCCTGTGTTAACGCAAACTTCAGCTTTATTATCAGAGCCTCGACACCGGTTGGTGCGTGTGCCGCCGTTGTAGGTGGGTGCAATGCAAATCGGCCTGTGATGGGCTCAATCAGAAGCTTAGCTGGTCTCGAAGGTGTCAATTGTAGTTTTAGCGAAGAATTGAATGAGTCGGTTGGATGCGCCGTTAGGACCATTGCTGACAGCGGGAATACTGGCAAATGTGCGAGTCGGCCGCGTATCAGTGTAAGTATGTGTTTTGTGTGCAGGGCAATCACGGTTTTTATCAGGTTTTCGGCGGACAGGACGGCTACGTCCAGGGGAACCGCCTGACCATGGACCGCTTTCCCATCACGTATCCATCGCACGCCGAGGTGGCTTGGCCTCCCTCGGGTACCACGCTTAATACCAACTTCAATCCAGCTCTTGGTTTCGCCCTCTGGAGCCCTGCTGATCCAATACTGTACAACCAATGTCCTCTTGCGCATGTCGACCACCAGGTTCTCAGTCCACCTGCCCGTGAGCATTATCTGGAACTGCCGGGCAAGTGTGCATATCTTGTCCGTCATGACAAACTCATGCAGATAATCATAGATTCCTTCTAGCCCCCCCTGCTTCAGGATTATATTGCCCCTGCTTTCGACCTCATCCCTGATTCGGCCGGCTGGGAGAGTTTTGGCAGATGGCGCAAACAGAAAGCGGAAATCGACCAGGTATAACTGGGATGTCGGGTCCTCATCCCCAATACATAGATCCACTTCAAACTCATCGGCAACGGTGAAGGTCGCACGGCCAGATGCGATGGTGTAGTCTCGGAAATAGGGCGGTAGTTTCTCGTGGAGGGCGAGCCGCAGGGAGAGTAATGTGTTGAGATCTTGTAATATTTTCAAAGTTTCCTTGGATGTTAACTTTTTGGGTGGGACATAGCGCCTCTAGATAAAGCTTGTCAGTAAAACGCGATGCGCGAAGCTCAAGACTACATACGGTCATCGCAGTATTCGCCCGGCCTGTGGATAGTACCCGCACGGCGGTGTCGAGGTCGGGGTTGGGAATTCTAGAATTGGGGTTGTTAGGGCCCTCCGTTAAAACCCGTCCACCCAATCCAGAGCAGGGCCGTACCGAGCATAACTCATTTTCCTCCTAACCTCGTAGAGGTTCCAGACCACCTTGTGGAAGATTTCCTGCCGGGTATCCAGAAAAACCTTGAGATCAATCACCTCACTAACCGCCTGCGCATTTTTCGCCCACATGGTTAAAACCAGCAACTTGATAAATTGTTTCCGCCTCTCCAGCATGTGCTCTATTATGCGCGCCTTCTTGTCGCCATCCGACCGTCCTCCTTCCGCCAACAAGCTGACCATCTCTTGTAACCGGTTGTGCGAGTCCTGCACCGTTCGAGAAACAAGCAATCTTAGCTCGATAAAGCCCTGCGTGATGTGCGGGAGGCGTGGGTTCCGGACGACGAGCTCCGTCTGCTTTCCAGGGGCGGATCCCGAATGATTTGGGGTGCCGTGTTGAAATTCATCGCAGGAAGCGTCAATCAGACCTCCAGGCGTCATCGCTTGGGGCATGGCTTCACCCGCCAACACCGCGCCGTCGGCTGGTCAGGGCACCTCCGCTCGCTCGCGGGAGACGGGTGCTCAGAAATGTGTCCGCTGTTCGTAGCCGGGCGTTGGTGTGTGCGAGAGAAAAAGTTCCCCTGTTGTCCACCAATAGAATTGGAGGTCGCGAGGTTGGTTACAAGGGTGGTCGCGCGTCTCGACGCGGAGAGGCAGATAGGAGCTATTGCCCAGGGGTAGTGAAGGTTGGCGAGTTGTAAGGTCAATAGATTGTAACTTGGGGCTAGAGGGGGAGGTGAAGCGAGGTGAGAGGAGGAGGGTGAAACCCAGAGACCAGGAGTACGATGGGGGAGAGGGCGTGTGGAGTGGGAATAGCGTGGGTTGTTGATGAGGCTGATGGAAACAGGGTAAAGTCCTTTTTTTTTTTTTTTTTTTTTTTTTTTGGTCGGATGAACGGGAAGATTGGTCTTAGCTTTGGGGAGCAGGGAGCTGTTGCTTTGGATATAATCCTCCCCGTCAGGATGGTACTTGTATGCAGAACATTTGCCCTATGGGGTCTCGTCTCATGATTCGGTCTGCATCGTGTGGACAATGTTTGGGAAATTTCTTATCCTCATTCTATCCTTTTCTTTGTGTTTCTCTTTGTTTGCCCGCCTTTCTCGGTGATTGCATAGCGACTGAGAATCCGTTTTTTCCGCTTCAGGTTGCCAGTGATTTAGTTATTTTGTAAGAGCACATTAATTTATCTCCTTCTGGATCATACGTAGAGTAGAGGGAGAGTACTGGCACAATATATACTCGGGTACTTGCACAGCTCCGGACCAAGTACTCGAGTACTCGAGTAGACTATCATGCCGGTATCCCTTTTGCTATCCATACTCAATCACCTCCTTCCGCCAAGAACTATGAGATCATACCATCTGCCCGCCTTCACCGCACGGGCGTTGCTGATGATGACCTTCGATGCTAAAGTACGGTAGGAGCCTACTGGGACTTCTGGCCTAGCTGGCCGACTTTCGAATCGTCTTGGATGAAATCAGTACAGACAGGCAGAGCAGTCTACCGACCAAATCCTGCAGCCTGTACCCTCTGGGCCATTAATAAACTTCCTCGTTCAGGTATTGTATGATACCGGTACGAGTAGCATGACTTACCAGTACTGCAACCCTTCTCGGGGGTGGTTCAGCCGCAGGTTCAGGTCTACCGCTGTTGCGCAGTGCTCGCAGCTTCATGTGGTTTTCTTTTCTTTCTCTCTTTTTTTTGTCTTTCATTTTTTTTCGTTGGTTCACCGGGGCCTAAAATGCCAGGATGGCCACTACAGGTGTTGGGTCGTCACGTGGTATTAGTCCTTTTTTTTTTTTTTTTCTAGCGCGCAAGCCCTAATTCCGATTTGTCTCCGTCTCCCGATCATGAATTCTAATTCAGCGCTCCCCTACAGTGGAGTGGACCAAATCCTTATATCATAATGTGCAATGTACTATACAGTGCAAGTACAGTTGTGTCTAATAAGTCCTCACACGGACTATGGCAACAGCAAAATACCTACAACCCCTCCTTGATTTCAGGTTTCCTATACCATAAATGTGTGAAAAGACAGCAGCTGGGTTGTAATTTAATCTCTGGCTTTTAAAGAAACATAAGGTGAAATTTTTAATGAAATAATAAATAGATAGATATTAAATTATAAGAAATAAAATATGGATAGGTTTTTTTTGACTGATTTGTATGTAAAAATACTAAAGAGTCATCTAACTGTAATAATATCAGATTTAATTGCTGGTATCTATTGAATATATATTAGATGAGGTATACAAGTACTAGTTTTATAGTTTATTACATCTGTAAGATGTATAGCTAGAGAATAAATAGCCTAGTAATATATTTAGTTTTAATAAGCATATGATTTCCATTATTAACTACAAATGGCTTGAATGTATATTAAAGCTGTTATAATATATTTTACAGCTTTTACATGAAGTTATAGATAGAAGATATATTTGGTTTGCAGTATTATTGAATATTTATATCAAAAAAAAAAGGAATTTTTATCAACTACTTAATAATTAAAAGATTAGCACTTATAAAAAATATTTAAGACTGAACCTATTAAGAAAGATATAAGGAAATAGCTTATTAATACTTGTAATTGAGATAAAGTATTTTTATGATTTTTTTAAAGTATACTAACTTGAGTATAACAAGTAGGCTTAATAGTTAACAATTTTTCTTCAATATTAAACAGAAAGCTTCTTTAAGTTACAGGTTTATATTTTTAAAATAATATAATAGTGGTAGTCACAGTAACTAACTTTTAAAATAATAATTGGACTTGGGTTTTGTTTTAATCAATAATAAAATATTTAAGTACTATTAAATTTAATATATCACTTTTATAGTATAAATTTCTCTATCTGAAACATTTATGAGGAGGAAGTATTACACATGACCAAAAAAACTACTATTAGTAGCTATAGTAAAGTACTAGGACAAAAGGGATTATCTGATTGGTGGTTACCAAGCAATACCTCAAAAACCCCACCTCTTTAATCAACCACTCCTTAACAACCATACCTCTCAAAAAGACAGACTACCTTACTGAGTTTAAGAGAAGGTAAAGTTTTTTGCTTTAAAAAAGTAAAAGATTGCTTTTTCAGAGATTGGAGCGCTCTTTCATCCCCTCAAGAGTACAGTTCAAAGTTTTTACAATTAGTTTCAAATGATATATAATGGAAAAAACTGCCCATTTACTGAAAGACCTAAAATTATCGATATCAGAACCTATTGCTACCTAGTCAGAGAGTCCAAGAAGATATGCTACCAGCTCTTATCAGAATTGTGCAATGATGTTGCATCCTATGCCTCTATTAATACAATGAAGTAAGGATTGACTTTAGTTAATATAAAGAGGTCAAAGTAGGGAAAAGAGTATTTCTGAAGAATGAACATACTATGAAGAAGTTGGACTGGGTAAAGGAGTATAAGAATAGAGCAAAAAAAAAACTGTGAAAGTGTTATCTTTAATAATAAATATATGGTTGAAAAGTCTAAAGATTTTAAGAATATTTAGATGCTCAAAATACCTTAGAAAAATTATATAAGAACAATATTTGAGGGGTAATGAAAGGATCTAAGATAAAGCTGATTGTTTGAGCTTGTATTTGGGGTAAAAATAAGAATCCTTTGATTTCTATGTTGGACAGGAGTATGGATAGATTTATATATATTGTAGTTTTAAAGAATGGCCTAGTTGGTATTTGGCAGGAGGTGGAGGATACAGTTAGAGATCCTATATTTTACTGGAAAGGTGTAAAAATATATACTGTAAGAGATACTATAGCCTGGTTTGCAGAAAACTATATACAGGTTATGGAATGGCTAACCAATTCTCCAGACTTAATCTGATTGATCCCCTTTGGAAAAGGGTAGAGGAAAAGTTACACCAACAGTTTTCTAATATTCATAAGACTAAGGAGGGTTAGAACAATATTAGAGGACATCTAGCAAAAGCTCTTAATATAGTTTGAAACTAGAATATTGAAGGAGAATTCTTGGAAGAGCTATGGGAGTCAAGGCCTAGGAGAGTAGCTACTTTTTAGGATGAAAAGAGATGGTATACAGAGGATTGATTTTTTTTCTTTAAAATTTTACATACAGTTTTTATTATATTGAGCAGATATCTATCTAAATTTTCAGCTCATTTTAAGTAGTTGTAGTTGCATAGGTAGTAAGTTTAGAGTAGTTGTAAGGTTACTATTGTTGTGCCAGATGATTCCTTTTGTCCCCGTACTTTACTTGAGGCTCCTAAAAACCTGTAACTGGGACTGTTGGAGGAAGATGGATCCTAGGAATATACCTGTACTAAACTTCAAATTTCTTGAACACAGGTCTTGCAAAATGTAAAGAATAATAAAAAAGTAGTAAAACTTAATATTGTTAAGCTCAAGCTAATTTCAATTGAAGTTACTTGAGAGGATGTTGATTGTATTGAGGTAGGAGTGTTCTTATGTAATCTTTCAATAGTGAGACTTATACCAAAGACTCTCTTAGTATATTACTCCAACCAATCCAAGTATGCCCTTCTCCCCTAAGAGTTACCCAACACTATTACCATACTCCTAAAGGATCTAAGGTATCAGCACAGTCTAGCAGCAATCCGTCTTATGCATATCAGTGCCTGTGAGGTATTTGCCAATATACCTGCTAGGGAGAAAACTTCTGTGCATTGGAGACTTGTTACTGGTTAGCCATTGAGACATCCGTGAAAGATAATCAAATAACTACTTTCCCATATGCAATGGTCCATACCACCACCTATGGACATCAGCTGTCTTTCAGTTAAGTTCTATCTATCTTGATTGTAAAGTTAGAAGGTCTACAATGCTCTCTTATAGAGCTGTAATAGCAGCGGGACCCATGGGCACTCCCCATGGTCCCTTACCTGCAAAACACCACTCACTGTGATAAGACTCATGCAGTTTGTGCCTTGTCTCTCTCCCCTTGACTGACGTTCCTGTAAATAAATACGAAGTTGAGTAATAGAAATCTCATATTTGTCTGCAATAGCAGTAATATTTGGATGCTGGTTTTCTTGGCTTTAAATGAAAATAATAGCTGCTTGAATTGGTATCTCAATATTACGATATAGTTGAACCTGCTGGCTGGGTAGAATAAAGGCAAGTGCAGGAGGCACAAGTTATTTAATTATGAGGAATATCTTGAGTGAGTAGGAGGTATTTCTTGTTTCGCAGATGGTTTTAAGAAGTTATTGAATTATAATAAATTATGGAACTAAGCTAAATTACAGAGTGGTGTTGAGCCACTAATTTTCTATGGTGAGCCACAAAGTTGTATTGAGCTAAAAAGTTGTATAGAGCTATCAGGCTGTCACAAACTGTGACTAAGCAAGGCAGATTACACATAGCTCGGATTTCCGAGATATAGGTATGTTGGGATTTCACATGACACATACTAGTATGCCATAGGTTATTATGTTTACCTGTTCGTGACTCACA